TGAATTCTAACAAATGATGTGAGAGTTTCGAGTAGAAAATTTTTTCGAGAGTAAGATTCAATAATTATCATTAGATTGTTTCAAAAGTTCTAATATAATTGTTGTAAAGAATACTACTTTGGTCAATTTTGGATTTCGATTGAAATCTAATCAATTTAAAGTACGAAACAGTTTTTAACATCTCAGTCTTCTAAAGTAAGAGTTGCTCTACAAAGTGTGCTATTTATTTTTTGTATGACAGATTTTAAAACTTTTGAATTTTTAAAAGCAGTTGTTGAAATAGCGATTGTGTTTACTGATGCCGATTACCGGAAAGGATAGTGTCGAGACACACACTAAAGACTGCAACAAGTGCTATATGGGTCTAAACAGTTATATGTTTTGTAGCTGAAAAACGAGCAAATATTTTGTATCAAAACTTTCGTATTATAGATTAAAATGAGAGCCTGTCAGTTCTAAAATTTTCGAATCCGACGAGCTCTCGTTGTAATATCGATTTAAAATATAAAAATTGAAAGAAAATTTTTGAACTATTTAATTTATTTTATGAAAAATTTTAAGTCTTTTGTTTTTCTTCATATTAAAACTATATTCTAAATATATTCGCATAAAATAGTATTCTTTTCTTTTTTCTTCTATTTATCTATATAACAAAATATAAAATATTACTAACGTTGATGGTACAGTAAGTCTTTGAACTTCACTTTGAAGTATATTTTGAAGTAATTTAAGTGTTGCTTGATATTCTTCTGAAGAAAGTTCTTTTGATTTAAATTTTTGTTCAGCCAGTGATAAACATTTTGAATTTAATTCAAATAAACGATCTGTATCAAGATTAGTTGTACTTGCTGTCGTTGTTGTTGATGGTGCTGGTGGCTTTTGTTGTGTTGTTGCATCTGTATCTCGATAATCTATATCAATACCACCAAATAATACTTCTCTAAAATAAAAAAAAAATTATATTGATTTTAAATCAATATATGAATTATGAAAAACTTACTCATCATTTTCAGTAGTATTATTTGTAACAGGAACACTTTTATCACCAGATAATTGATTATTAGATATTCCATCAGATGAGATCTCTTGATTATTATTTGTAGCAATTTTTCCATCATTTTCTTTCTTTATGTTTAAACTTTTTAATTTTGATTGTTGTTCATCATCATTATCTTTATTCGTTATTTGTTCTATTTCTTGTCGATTTTGTTCTTTTCGATCGATTGGTATCATATGATATGTATCGTCTCTTGATGACGCATCAGAACTTTTTGTAGTTGTTTGATTTACAATTCGATCATTATCTTCCTGTTGTAAAGGTAATTTTTGTTGATTGGCAGGTTGTATTGAAGTTGTTTTAGTCTTTAAAGAAAAAACATAAGCTATTAGTGTAATTCCTGCTGGATTAAAATGTAAAATACGATGTAGCTGCTGTTGTTAACCACTGAGAGATTATGTTATTCTATCAATTTTGTGACACATTTCATTATCCTTCTTTTGCTTAATCGTCTCAGAAATACAGTCTATGATAATTCCAGCCTAGCATCTGTTACAGATTGTGTGATTCAAATTTTTACTTCTATACTTCAATGTTTCTTGAAGATCGTATTTCACAAAAGTTGATTTTGAATAGAGAAGATGCAATATATTTGATAGAATTTACATACTCGTTGAATAAAATCTGGATTGATATGAATATTTGGTGCAGACGAAGTTGAATCAGGTACTCGAGCTGTTATCGGCCATGCTGGATCGATATAATGTGTTCTTGTGTCTAGATTATGTAATGTGGCACTAGTAAAATATGGTGGCCATGTTTGACGAAGTTTGAACATAGCTAAACGTGTACGTTCATCGACCTAATAAATATAGAATCATTTTAAAAAAAATAAAAAAGCCTATTTTTTTTTCTATTATTACAAACCTTATTGAAAGCACTAGCAAAAATAACAGGTAATTTATTTTCAAATAATTGAATATAAGTTGATGAACGTAAATTTTTTACTATGGAATCAAGTACATATAGTACAGGTAAAACATAATCACCTTTAGTCTAAAATAACAAACATAAACAAATTTTGATATCTTCTATATAAAAAAATAAAATAATTTAATACGAACTTCAAGTATACGTTCTTCAATCGCACGTACAATTTGTGGTGCACTATGGATTTTTTCTTCAGCAAGTATTGTTAAAAAGTTAATTAATGGTTTACTATTTATTTTTAAATCATTTAAAGCATTTTTAAAATCTTGATAATCATCTTTCACCGCCATTGTTTATATAAAGTATTTAATTTAGTAAGTAGGGGAAGACTAGAATTAATCAATGGATTTTCAAAATAAAACTTCTTTTTAAAAAATTTATTTACCTTAATAAATATTTCAATTGAGTTCAATTTTGGGCCACTATACAACTATATTCCCCTTTAGAAAGATAGACAAATTGACAAATCAAAATAGAAAAAAAATATTATCTTCAATAATAGAAAAAGAAAAAGAAAAAAAAACATAATTAAACATAAAAAAAATAAAATATTGACACAGTCGATTTATTATATAATATTTAAATCGGCAATAAAAAACAAATAATTCATTGAAGGAAAGTAAAGATTGTTTAAATGAAAACTTTTAAATCAATTTCAATCGATAATGTTGATTTGTATAGAAACATAAAATGAAAAATATAAATCATTTTATTCGCAAAAGATTGTTTTTTTTTTCTTTAAAAAGAAAATATTTAGAAGTTTATATTGATTCTAGCTTTTATAAAGATGTTCGATTACTTGATTTCGTATATGAAACTTGAGGTCAAATGACACCAGTATTTAGCCAAGATTATTTCAAGGTGATCAATTTAAACTTCTCATGCGAATATACAATCTCTCTGTACGACCAAGATTTATGTTTTATCGAGATTTTCTCTTTCGAAGGATCGATTCACTTTTTTTTTGCAACACCGATACATAGTAAGTGGTATATTAACCACAAACTCTAGAAGAGCTAAGTCGACTTTCGGATGGGCGCTGTTTTCCTCGACTCCCACGCTAGATAAAATACTGATCAAGATAAATTCTACTGAGATATTTCTCATATTCTATTGAAAAAATTTAGTCTGTATTCAAGAATGCTATTGTTTTCAAGGCATGAATAATAGATTCTGAAAATTTTTCACATACAGTTCAATATTTATCATTTCAAGAGATGAGCAAATTAAGGCACACAAAAATTTTCTTGTCTCAAGCTTTCATTATAAATCATTTAAAATACATTCAAAAAAATATCATGTGAATACATGAACAATTTTTGTCTACTAGAAGATAAATTTAGTTGATTATTTTTGTGATTATTTTTGTATGTGTCAATAAAAATAATATCAAATGTGAATAAAAACAGTGAAATGCAAGATATTTTGTTTGATTACAATACTCGCTTTCAATTAATAACTTGATATTATTTGAATCAATTTCTGAATTTTTAAAGCAAAATATAGTTAAGAAAAAAGAAAAGAATCAATATAAAATTTTACTATATTTTCCTATAAATATTTCAGTCATAAAAAAATTCTTTCAATTTTCACATCGAAGAAAGAGCAATACCAACAAAATGCAAAACATTTGTTCAAAGAAATAATTATTAGAGTGTCGTATTTCCTTTATTTGAGCAATGCTCATTAGATAGGATAGCTTTTTTTTTGTTGATCTTGTTTACTAAATAACATTTTAAAATAAATAATTTATATTTGACCGTATTCTTATTTTCTTTACTTGTCTATCTAATTTAATTCATTATTATATTAATGATAAAATACTCACATAAGAGAATAAATATAGATGCAAACTTGAATCTATATTGATTAAATTAGGACAGAGTGAAAGAAAAAAATAGAAGATTTTTGCACAAAAGTTAATTAGAAGTTTAAGAGATCATCGACATATTAGGTCATCGGTATATTGAAATGAAGCAAATGATTCGACCGTAAATATATCCAGTAGTTGTAAATACAAACTAAAAAAGAAAAAAAAACAAATATTATTTAATTAGTTTGTTTTTTTTTCTCTCTAAAAAACGTGATGCATATCTCAATAAATCTAACTTCTTCATTAAACTAGACAGACTGATCTAATATCGATAGTATACCTTATAAGAATCATTAATTATCCAGGAGATTCCATTTTATTTTTCGTATTGGTGCAACCAATTTTTATTGTATGTTTTAATTCATGTATAATAATCATAATCTGGTTTCAAATTTTTCTCAAAGTTATATATGTATAATTCTTGTTTCTTTCTTCTCATTTTCGTTCTCATACAAATAATCTTAAGCAACGAAAAATCATATAATAATTCAGAAAAAGAAAGATTAAACAAAATAAATGGACATAATCGAATAACATATTTGTCTGTACTATAATAAAAAAAAAAATTGATAAGTAAAATTAAGAATTTACGTCATAATCATATGACTTACTGTTTATCTTTTGATAAAAACCAATCTTGATTTTTCAATTTCAACCTTAATAAATCAAATACAACGATTAAATTTCTTATAGAAAAAAAAAATATTCAAAAACTCTTACCAAATATTTGAAAAGATATTGATTCATTTTTATTTTATTTTAATATAATCATAAAATTTCTGAAATAAACAATCTTACCCAACCCATTATTCGCCGAATAATAATAGGTAAAAATACAATAATAGAAAAAAGAAAAGAACCTTATTAATATTAATCTTTTGTTTTCTTCCATAGCCAAATTAAAACAAAGAAGAAAGAAAAAAAAACAATGAATAGTATATGGCTTTATAAGTCCCATATGTAACGCTATCTCAATTTTTTTCTTTTTCTTTAGCAAAGAACAAAAAAAAATTATACAATAAAATAGAGAAGATATTTAATAAAAATAAAAACAAAAAAAAGATGGAAACAAAAAATAGATTTAAGAAAAAAGTAGCACATATAGTTTCACTGTATACAAACTTATTTACCTTTTTTTCTTTAAGTAACTGTCTGTAGTTGTAATTCGTCAATTTCTTTCTGCAGTTGTTCATTTTCATATAATAAGTTTTCATAAGGATCAACATTTGCTGTTTTTTGTTTTAATTCAGCTATATCTTTGTGTATTTTCATAACACGTTCCATTACTGTTAAATGTTCTTGATAGAGATTCATTGATTGTTCATTATTAAAACGTGGTTCATAGGGTAAATACTTTTCTGATAAACCAGAATCATGTATCCATTGTCTTTTAATTTCATCCGCCATTTCTTGTGTATATTCTTCTTTTTTTTTTGGTAATGCATTTAGTATTAATCGAAGAATTTTTTTTATAAATAATAATGTTGGTCGTTCATTTGGATCTGAATGCCATGCACGATACATCAAGGCCATAAACAATTCTGGACAATGATTAAATTTAGGTGGACGAAGTTTATGTTGTACGACAGATAATAGAAAACCTATTGAAATTATTCATTTATATAGTAATTTACAATCAAACATATTTCTGTATGTATATATAAACAAACCTTTGCCTTCTCCTCCATAAGGTAATAATTTTTTTGAGATTAATTGCCAGAAAACAATAGACCAAGAATATGTATCACATTGTTCAGCATATTGATTATAAGCAAATACTTCAGGTGCCATAGTGACTAAAATTATATTAGATTTTCTTTTATGACATAATTTACTTTTCTATGATGAAAACAAAACTTTCATCAAATCAAGACACTTTTTAAGTTTCAATGTACCATTATGATAAAACATTTCTAACTAAAGGTATTAATGATAGTCCAGAAGCAAAGTTTTCTATCCACACGGAATTCTTCCCATACTAATAAATCTTCTCGCAGACTACATCGACAGAGAAAAAGCGCAGAGAAGTGTACTCTTCGAGATGACTATAAACTGATACCTCTATTTCATGTAATAAAAATATTATTAGTCTAGAAATATCTATGATATTTCAAAGCAAATTAGTAATTAAAAATGAAATAGTGACCTAACTATAACTCAAACGATCAATACACATTTTTAAATCAATTCAGAATTTATTTATGATGAATTGGATATATCTGATACAATATCTAGAGATAAACTTTTCTCGTGCATGAATTCTGTGTTCAAAAAGGAAGAACTCTATGTTGATAATAGATGTTACAACTGAAAAACCTTTTTTTCTTTGACTTTAACTCTTTTTAAATGTATTGATTTTTTGATTACTGTCGTAAAGCATTTTATTCGGCGAGTTCTTATTGTACCATATATATTTACCAATGTTTTCGCAATTTTCTTTTTAATAATTGATTTACTTTTCAACTTAACGATTCTCTACCCAAGTGTAATTCATAGACAATGTGACTTATTTTCTAGATAAAACTTTCCTTTCAAAAACAGAATTCATGGTCGACAACAGTTATATGTAATTAATATATCAGGTATTCAATGTATCATAAAACAATTCTGAAGTAACTTAGAAATGTATATTGATCTTTTGATTTACAGTTAGTTCAACATTTCATTTTCAATGATTAAAATATTATAAATTATTAATTAGATTTTAAATATCATAGACATTTATAGACTCATCACTTTCTTACTAAATAAATTAGAAAGATAAGGTTATGGTCATGTTCAAAAGAGCGTTTCACCATACTTTTCTCTAAAAAAAACTTACCTCTGCAGACAGATTTATTACTATTAAAATTTCTACTAGATAAGACAAGTCAGGACTTATGGATCATCCTTGTTATGAAAAATTGAATGCAGATAGCATTAGTTTTGTTCTCGAATAAGGCGTTTTTTTTATATGATAGAACTCTTTTGTTGACAGCAGAACATACAATTAAGGACGAAACAGAGTGATTTCCTGTTCTAAATTTTTCTTACGTTCTGCATATCTTTCTCTAGGAATTTCCTGTGACGTTTTTAAGCGAGGTTCTGTTTGCAATTTTTTTAAAGAAAGTTAAACTTCTTTTTTCTAAGAGAGACTGAATCACGTTATATTTTGAAGAGTAATATATTCAAAAGATAAAAGATGAGACAAACATCAAATTTATGACTTAACCTTTAACATATATAATATTCATTTAATAGATACTACAGAGTACGATGTACAAAATCTAACCTAATATCTGGACAGCAACTTCAAGTGTCCTTTTACTGAACATGTTTCGACCCAGTAACTTATTAGGTATTCGATGAATATGTTATTATAACATACGTAAGTTTTTAATCGTCTCTATAAAATACGGATATAGTATAGTTTTTCGGAAATGATACTTAAAACACTTTCGTAAGACATCATTGTCGGCACACGATTAATTTTTTAAGTGAAGCAATGAATTTTTAAATTGGTTGCTTTTTTTCCTATCCTTCAAAACTGAAGTATGTGTGAGCGAAAAAAAAAGAAAAATATTTCTTTGAAACTATTAACAAAAATAATTTTTGTGTACAGTAAAAATATAGTGATTTCGATTATCCAAAAATTTCTATATGGATTTACTAATACAAGAAATAGTAACAAAGGAAAACGTTTACGATAACTCTTGATCTTTCTAAGCACAAGATTAAATGAAAGTTATGGTTAAAAATACATACTTGGTGTGCCAACATTGTCCGTCATCCAACTTTTTCCAAGCTGTGTTGCAGTACCATAATCAGTAAGAACAAGTGTTTGATAATTATCTTTCAAAAGAATATTTTGCATTTTAACATCTCGATGAACTGTAATAAATTGTTTATACTTTATATCAATCAAATAAACAAAAAAAAATTGAACTTACTAATCTTATTGGAATGTAAAAAACTTAATGCATCTGCTAATTGATAGCCCCAATTAAGAACATCAACTAATGTATAATTTGAAATTTTTTCTCTTACAAATCCATCAAGTGAACCATTACTACAATAATCAATAACGAGACCAAATGTACGAAGATTAATAAAATTTAAACGTTGAATATTTGGATGATGTTGAGCTATATCAGATAATTTAATACCTTCTTCAAGTATGCCACTACGTTGTTCACTTGTATTTTGACGTGGTCGTTTATGTGCATATAATTTTTTTTCATAGCGTATCAATTCAACTATACCAAAAACACCATGACCAAGTGGACGAAGTGACTCAATTTCGTTTGTTACCGGTATAAATGGAACTTTACGTTCAACTAATAATTTACGTAATTTTTCTTTTAGAACAATACCTCCTTCTACGAAATGAAAACAAAAACAAAAAAGAAATTTCGTATTTTCCTTTTTCTCTTTTTACAAAAGTATATATTGTTTTTTGATTACAAACCTTTATAAGCTTTTTGCAGAACTTCAGTAATAACTTTTTCCTTTGATGAGTTATCCATTTAAGATTTATTTTTTGAAAAGAGAAAAACAAAGTTCTCTTGAGTGATTATTCGGCTGTTCCTCGTAATGGGAAAAAGGTCAAATAAAAGCAAACATATGTTTTTCAAAAAAAGAACCAATAAAACTTTTCTTTTTTTCCAATATGAATCATTTTATTTATTGCAAACAGAATAGATGGCGCATGATTTCAGTATTTTACTTAATGAGTAATGAAGCTAAAAAAATGATTGAAAATTTCAAAGTATATTCAGGACAAAGGGTAACATGCCATGTATTGAGATGACATACGTAGATGAACTTAATGTCGAGTAACAAGTAGTAATAATAGCTCAAGAGTTTACTGTATGCAGTACCCATGTCGTCAATTTTTCCATTAAAACCGACGGTTCAAACGGTTTATTTCCTTTTTCTTATTACGTCTTTTATAATTTGTCTATTAAATAAATACTGCTTTTGTGGCGCCATCTCTAATAAATAATCAAACGCGAAAACCAAGCGACAACAGCCAGCGTGGCTGGTACGAGTACCTAGCAGCATAACCAGAAATTTAGTCTGGAATGGGCTCAGCTCCAAACACTTTTAAAAAGTATATAAAGGTAATGCTAAACATTTTTACGTTTTCTCTTAGCGGAAAGAAAGCTGAGGCTTCAGTCTAGTTGAATCAGATAGGGCCATTTGAGACCAGTATTTCTACACTTTTAAACTTCTAAGAAGGTGTCTTTTGCGTCCACATTTTGGTCATTAAAATGCAATTCATCACGCTCCATGGTCTAAATGGATATTATTCCACTTAATGATTCGGATTTCAGTAATTATAAAAGATAATTTGCGACATGCTGTCCATTGTACTAAGCTTGATTTTCAATTAAACCGATCAGTTAGATTCGATTCTAGCATAGTATTTTAACTGTATGAGAATGACTATGTGTAATATGAGTAATTCTATAACTTTTGGCATAATAATTAACTCTGAGTTCTTTGACTCATTTGATAGTAACTTTTTACCAAAAATTTCTACTCTTTTTTTTTCTACGCATAAAAATTATAGGCTTCCATTTTCTCACAGAGTATTCTATTTTGATACTAAATATTTCTTTTATCACTATGTTTGAATAAACAAAGAGAAGATTTCAATTCTCAATCAATATTATATATATTCTTCTAATATTTTTTACATTATACAGATTGGTATGACAAAAACGTGGCTTATCCATTATGAAACTTATGTGAATTTCTCGAGAAAACTCTTTGTCGTCTGTTTAATCTTCAGTCACTTGATTTAGGAATGGCAACATCTTTTTATTTACATAAGTGGTCTTTCAAAGCGTTACAAATACCCTTAATCTATCTAAAAATCTCGCTCGGTAGTGCATTTGATTTGTTTGATATACTGTCAACGAAACCGTTATCACATACATTAAAACAACTACATATAAAAATGCCAGATTTTTGTGGTTATACAAATTTGTGGGCGTGGGTGGGGCTTGATTGTATTTCTGCTAAACCAACACCCACCCTATGGGAACGGTACATTACTTCATTGAAGATTATTCAACTGTACTCTCATATTTCGAAAGAGCACTTCAAATTTAGAAAAATCCACTTTCATCTAATCATGTAGATCTTGTCACTACCTTCAATAATATTGGCTTAATATTTCAATCAATAGGTAATCATTTGACTGCATTATGACTCTATGGAAAGACGCTTGGTTTTCAATGAAAATTGCTTCTTTCTAATCATCCAAAAATAGCTATTACTTTGAATAATATTGATGAAATACATCGATCAATACGAAACTATTGCACTGCTTTATCACACGATTGGAAAAACCTTGTCATGCAACAAAAGTTTCTCTTACCTAACAATCTATCGCTGATAATTACTTTTAATAATATTGCTTTTGCACATCACTCGATGAGAAATTACATAACTGCTTTCTCATACTATGAAAAGATCTTTGAAAGTCAACAAGAAATAAATCCGACGAAAAATTCAGAAGTTACTATAATTCTTGACAACATGATATTAGTATTAAGTGGAAAATATTGATATGAATAGGTCATTGAATATGCTGAACGAGTTATTGATAATGCCAGTCATTTAATAAAAACTGAATATTCTCTCAAATAAATCTATTTTATTTTTAAACTGAAAAGTCTTGTAAGAAGAACATACACGTATTCTTGCAATATCCTTTACAGATTAAACTATGACAACGTAGTACATATAGGTTCCTATTTACAAGAGATATTTGTGTGAATATACTCAGCTTATGCCTTACAATATACTATTAGTCTCGATTTGAATGAGTCATTTCCATATTAAAAAAACCGACAGTTCGTTGTTAAGAATGTATAATAATATTTATTTTATATAATTCTGTTTGACTATTCCAATGCACTATTTTATAATTTTAATTTTGAATAATCATATCGAACAAAATTTGTTTTACATTTATTTAAATACAATTTTCATGATATAGAAGTATCAAGATCGTGGAAACTTTTTTAATCTATCACCAACATATTATATCTATGAACAATCATTTCTTAAGAAATTCATTTGTACCACCTTATAGATATGTACTTGTTGTTGTAAAGAATCTTTGTTGAAATGATTGTAACAATTTTATAGCATTTGATGAAAAGCTTACTAAAAACTCTTAATTAACTTCTATTTTAAAGATTGATTATAAGAAGTTGATTACCAGCAATTGTAGTATTGATTAATAATATTTCATATTGATCTTTGAAACGATCATTTTGACGGTCTATTTTATTGCTAATCACTTGAGACGAACAATCAGAATTTGGTGCTTCAAATCTGTTATTTTGTTTTTTTTCTCTTATGGAATAATAGTTTGTTGATTGATGGCTACAATTTTGTTTTTCTTATTCTTGCTAATTTTTTCGACGAAACAATGAACATGTTAGCATAGAGACAATATTTCTACAATTATTTCGAAAACTTCGATTTAAAAATGCATATATTATTAGATTAACAACTGATTTTAATTAAGTAAGCAAACGAATTTGCAATAACTTTAAAATAATATAAAAAATCTGTTTTATTTTTAAATACATTTGCTAATATTATATATAATGTAATAGGTCACCAACAAAATGATAATAAAAGAGTAAAAATGGCAATCGATTTGGTTACAGTACGACATTTTTTTGACCATTTAACAACATTCGATTTCTGTTAAGAAAAAAGAAACAATAGAACTTATTCAAAATAAGACTTATCATGATACCGTTTTTGGTTCAACAAAACAAAACAAGCGTCTAATGAGAAAATTTTTCACAATGAAAATGTGAATGGTAGCTGATGAGCTATGTAATAGATATAGCTTGTTAAAACCTATCTAGAGACGTAGATGTCTTTGTTGGAGAGTACTACCGGGCGAATTGTGACAGAGTTCTATGTAATCTATCATTTTTCAAAAACTTGTGAACTTTTGAATAAACTTGTTTTCAGCGTCTCCTCCTCAAAAATCAATCTCAGCTCAGACACATCCAAATTGAATAAAGCTTTCAGGCTATGTGTGGGCTGGTGAGCGATGACTATAGTAAAATTTTCAGTTCTATAGCACAATGTTCAACAGAAATATTCACCAAACAAGGGTCAAAAATAGCTCGATTGTATCTTTAAGTTTTCTCTGTGGACCTTCATTCTAGATATTTAATTTTTTTCTATTGGAAAGAGCATATCAGAATGTAGCCCCTCTCGTGTCTCTTTTTTTAAAGTTCTTACCTTTTAAGCGAAGAAAAGGAATGACAAGTTCAATGACTCAAAAAAGTCTCTAAAAAATGGCGCTGTTTCTATAGAGATGTTCTCTTATACAATAATGCTGGCGATAGATTGCTGGATCCACTTTTTTCAGAAAAACGGCTTGTTTTTCGAATAGTGGGTGATGAAATCTTCCAAAATTTTTGGAAATAAAAGAGCTGCTGAGTAACAGTTTTTGTCATTTATGAAAGAGCGGATGATGGGCTATTTGCCCATGAATTTATCTCAAATTCGATCATTTTGGCGAAAAGTGACTTTTTTGAAGGGGCCTTAGTAGACTTGCTGGTTATGCTTTGCGAAAGAAAAACAAGAAACTATACAAAGCTTATCCAACATGTAAAAGAGCTAGCTTAAGCTGTTGTTTCCTTAAGAGAAGCATAATATTTGTTAAACAAAAAACTGTAAAAATAATGAGTTGATTACGATTATTTTCGATGACAATAAAGAAAAGTTAATCATGTTTATATGAAAGTACCAAATTCTCAATTATAATAGAATTGCTGTAGAGAAAAAAAATGACACTAATTGAAAATCGACGTATAAAAATAATTCATTTTCACTATTAATAGCAACTAAAAGTCGAAAAGAAATCGTATCATTATATACAATATTGTTCTTTTGTTAAGATTGGCTACTTGAACGTAGTTGATCGATTTCCTTTTGTAATTGTTCATTGTCATATAATAATTCTTGATAATGATCAAATTTTGCTTGCTTTTGTTTTAATTCAGATATATCTTTGTGTAGTTTCATAACACGTTCCATCATCGATAAATGTTCTTCATAGAGATTTATTGATTGCTCATTATTATAACGTGGTTCATATGGTAAATATTTTTCTGATAAATTATAGTCATTTAACCATTGATTTTGAATTTCATTTGCCTTTTCTGGTGCATATTCTTGTTTTTTTTTCGGTAATGTATTTAATATTAATCGAAGAACTTTTTTTATAAATAATAATGTTGGTCGTTCATTTGGATCTGAATGCCATGAACGATACATCAAAGCAACAAACAAATCTGGACAGTTATTCAATTTAGGTGGACGAAGTTGATTTTGTACAACAGATAATATAAAACCTATTAAAATTATTCATTTATATAGTGAATCAAAATCAAATATTCATTCCTAGCTGTAACCAAAAGTTCTGACAACGTTGCTGACAATTTTATGAAGGAGCTAACATTATAGATTTGGTTGCATGAATAAATAGTAGAATGTTTTGGATACAATAAATGTTTTTTTTTGGATTTAGTTTGGATATTCTTTCAGATATAATACAGTTCCTACTGGGAAATGTTGGAGAGTGAATGCTGGATTCGTTTGATAGTACTCCAGTTTTCGAACTGACCGATGTAAATATTGAATTGGTACGAAAAGTTATCAACAATGATTTACATTCAACTTACGATGACATTATAGTGAAGATTTCTGTCTCTCTGTGTGGTTGAATAGAATAAATTATCTATCAGTGACTAAAGATGAGAAAAGCTACCTCATACGTTCGATGTCCCATCAAGTTAATGATGAACAAAATCAAGAAAGAGTTAAAATTTGCTACGTAAATTGGACGAAATTCCGTGATGGCTCAGACAGCTTGAACACAAGTCAACTAACGCTAGATAAATTAGTGGAAGTGAGTAATCAACGACTCTTATTCGTCAAAGTAGATTTGAATGAAAAACCTTGTCCTTTATATTGTTTGAATCAAACTGTTCTATTCTTTTACATAGCGCAGATAAAAGCTAGACTATAGATCAGAACTATTGTATTGAAAATGGCATCAATTCTGTTCTCAATAAAATATGGAAATAAAGAAAGTCATCACATGTAACAGGTACAAAAATATTTCATGGTAATGCTCGACCATATACTTATCCGGATGTTATTAATTATTTAACACAAGAAGGTATTAATTCAATGGTGCATCTTTCGTTTTCATCAGACTTTGCAACATGTGGTTTTTAACTAAATGACTATATCAAGTGAAAATTAACTCAGCAAACAAATGAAAAATCATTGGCTCGTGCAACCTCCAAGATAGTTGAAAATCTTACAGAGAAAGCGTCTAAAAAAAAGTCCATTCGACAAACTTTTAGCTGGAATAGAACTTTGTATAAATATTAATGACAACTATTTTGAACATTTAATAAAATAAATTTACAAATATCTCTTTGTTTTCATTTAATGTTGTCAGAGCTTTGATCTGCCCAGATTATATAAATATATGAATAAACCTTTGCCTTGATTTCCATAAGGTAATAATTGTTTTGATATCAATTGCCAGAAAACAATTGACCATGAATATGTATCACATTTTTCATTGTACTGATTATAAGCAAATACTTCTGGTGCCATAGTGACTAAAATTGTATTAGATTTTCTTTCTCGGATAAGATTTTCCAATACTATAGAATTCCCTTTTGTTGAAAGTACATACTTGGTGTTCCAACTTCAATAGTCAGCACAGCTCTTCCCAATTGTGTTGCAGTACCATAATCAGTAAGAACAAGTGTTTGATAATTATCTTTCAAAAGAATATTTTGCATTTTAACATCTCGATGAACTATAATGAATTGTTTTTATTTTACATTAATGAAAACGATAAAAATGAAACTTACTAATCTGATTCGAATGTAAAAAATTTAATGCATCTGCTAATTGATAGCCCCAATTAAGAACATCAACTAATGTATAGTTCGAAGTTTTCTCTCTTACAAATCCATCAAGTGAACCATTACTACAATAATCAATAACGAGACCAAATGTACGAAGATTAATAAAATTTAAACGTTGAATATTTGGATGATGTTGAGCTATATCAGATAATTTAATACCTTCATCTAGTATACCATTGCGATGTTCCCTTGTATTTTGTCGAGCTCTTTTATGTGCATATAATTTTTTTTTATAACGTATTAATTCAACCATACCGAATGTACCATCACCAAGTGGACCCAGTGATTCAGTTTCACTTGTTAATGGTATAAATGGAATTCGACGTTCAACTAATAGCTTACGTAATTTTTCCTTTAAAACAATACCTCCATCTATAAAAGGAAAAAAAAAGCAAAAAACTTCGTTATTACTTGGTTTATAAGAATATTCTTTTATTGCAAACCTTTCTGAGCTTTTTGAAGAGCTTCTGCAATAATTTTGTCATTTAATGAAGTATCCATCTACAATATATTTCTGAAAAAAAAAAAGAAAAATTCTTTTGTCGTAATTATTCAAACTTTCAACGTAATGCGAAAAAGCTCGAGCAAAAATATAGTTTTGAAAAAAAGAACCAATAAAACTTCTTTTATTAACATGAATCATTTCATTTATCTGATAAAGAATAGTTGATGCATTATCTCAGTAATCTGTTGAGCGAAAAACGAAAATTTAACAAAACTATGGTCACAGCTAAAGCTATTCCTTGATAGATATATTTTTGAAATCGATTGAAAATCTAAAATAATATTAACCACAGCATGCAACATAGCAAGATGACTCACTTACATACTCTTTATGTTGAGTAATAACAATGACGGCATTTGAAGTTTCTATTATATGTAGTACAGTTGACCAATACTATGATTTTTTACTTGAAATCAGTCGAAAAACATTTCCACTTTCAGCTACTCGATGATATCGTTCAACATTTCAAACGCTCAACTCCATGTTATCTGTTATTCTACAAAAAGCTGTGAACTTTTAAATAAACTTATTTTAGTAGATGTACTGTGTACTTCGTGCGAAGAAAAACCAAGAAGCTCTAATAAGCTCAGCGAACGTATAACAGAGTTAGTTCAAACTTTATTTGTTTTTAGAGAAGCACAAAATTTCTCAAAAAAAAAACAATTCTACTTAAATACTAACTTCTCAAATAAAAAGGCAAAAGAACGAATTTACTTCGATAAGTTTTCTATTTACTTTCGATACAAATAAAGGAAGAAAAATAATAATCATTTTCGTATATAAACACACGACTCTGACACTATAATGGATATGTTTTAAATAGAAAAACAAATCTTATTAATAAGTATGTTATTATTCTCTCTTTCATAATGGATCTTTATATATAGCGCAGTAATTTTGTTTTGTAATTGTTCATTTTCATACAGTAATTCTTCATAATGATCAATTTTAACTTGTTTTGTTGTAATTCAATTACATCTTTTTGTTTTTTCATAATACGTTTCATCATTGTTAAATGTTCTTGATATCGATCTATTGACTTTTCATTATTAGAACATGGTTCATATGCTAGATATATTTCTGATAAATAATATTCATTTAACCATTGATTTTGAATTTCATTT